AGCTGGTAGTTTTGAACTGCTGACCTTAAGGTTCGCAGATTGACTCATAATCACTATGCTACCAGAGCTCCTTTAGGCTGCTATACTTATTGGAATTTATCCTCTGGATATATTCTTGTGTATATATTCAAGTACATTGACTACAGTAATGTTAATGTTATGAATTAAATTGTGTCCCACCTAAAACATGTTATAAATCCTAACTTCTATGATGGTTGGCTATACGCTGTGCAGTCAGTTCCTACTCATAGTGACCCTGTACAGGGTTTTCAAGGCTTTAAATCTTTATGGGAGCAGAAAGCCTCATCTTTCTCCCGTGGAACAGCTGGCAGTTTCGAACTGCTGACCTCACGGTTTGAAGCTCGAGATTCATAACCATTACACTACCAGAGCTCCTTCTATACTTGTGTCTATACTTCCATTTGGGTATGGTTTCTTTGTTATGTTAATAAGGTGGCTTGAGCGTTGAGTTGCTCTTTTGACATACAAAAAGAGCAGCAAGCAGAGATGGGGAAAAGAGATGCCACATCACAAGTAGGAACAAGGCACCAAGGAACAAGGTCCTTCCCCTAGAGTCTACCAAGGGAGCCTTACCCAAAGCTTAACTTCTAAATTTGTTTGTTACTAGGTAACTAGGTAAAATCAAAAGGTGGGAAACTATCTACATGTTCATGAATAAGGCACAAATTAACTAAAATATGGTCTTCCCTTACCATGGAGTACTATGTTGTTGTTAAGTGCCATCCAGTTGATTCCAATTTATATCGACCCTGTATAGGGTTTTCCAGGCTGTAAATCTTTGCAGGAGTAAAAACCTTCATCTTTCTCCCACTGGTGGGCTTGAACTGCCAACCTTGTAGTTCACAGCCCAGTGCTTATCCCACAGTGCCACTGTTTCACGGAATACTATTGTTAAGTACCTTCGAGTTGGTTCTGACTCACAGAGACCCTGTGTAGGATTTCTGAGGAGCAATCGGTGAGTTTGAATGGCCTATCTTGCTGTTCAAACCGATCTTAGAGTTCAGCGCATTAACCCACAACACCACACCAGGACTCCTAGAGTACTATGCAACCCTTAAAATGTTCCCACATTGAGTAATTTCCAAGCTATTTTAAGTGAAAAAACTCAGCAGAACAGTACCTAAGCTGATAGACAAAGATTTTCTGAAAAAAATACCAGAGAAACTTAAATATTATTATTTGAGGGGATAGAATTGGGGTGGGGAAAAGAGGAGCTTTTAAGTTTCCATTTAAAATATACCCCGCTGTAGTAATTGATCAGGATCCCTGCATAATTAAATATTACTGTATTTTTCGATTTAAGTAATAATTTTTTCCCTAGTTGTAAGCAAAAAAATCAATGAATAACAGCAATAATCTCTATCGTTCACTGAGTGCCTTTGTGCCTGGCATTTCATATGCTCCAACGCAATTACCCTCCATAGCAAATTTACAAGGTAGGTAAAAACATCTCCATTTTACAGATAAGAAAACTGACATTGAGGGAAATGAATTGCAACAGCTAGAAATTGGAAAACGGTGAATTCGAACCCTAAATATGGACTCCCAAAGACCTGGCGGTCTTCGTTTGGGTCCTCTACCTCCCGCTCCAGGAGCGAAGTGCGCGCTTTAGTCGCTCGAGCCCCACATGGCGCAGCCCCCTCCCCCAAGTTGGGCGAATCCGCGGCCCCGACGCACACGGGCTACAAGCTCCTAGAGCGCGCCCGCACGCAGCTGCGCGAGCCCGGCGGCGGTGGCGGCGGTGACATCACAGCCCGAGCTTTCCTTTTCGGGAGTCCCCGGCACACATCCTGTGTCCATGTTTGGGCATTTACGTCACGGCGGCAGAACCCGGGCCTCCCGAAATGGCAGTGGCCGGGAGAGTCGGAAGCCCAGAACCAGAGCCTCCGCTGCTATATAAGTGGGGGGGACGCGGACTGGGGGAGCCTGGCTGCGTTTTGGAGAGGCAAGAAGCCGCCACCTCAGGCCGGTCCCGGCGAACAAGGGCGCCGCGGTCTCGCGACTCTTTGCCCAAAGACGAGCTCCTTGAACCAGGAACTCGGGCGCCTGGTTCTACGCGTCGCAGGGTGCCCCGACCACTGGTTTCCCCTCCAGCCGCGCGCCCCCAATCCCAGCGGGCGAGGCCCCCGGCGCCCCGCAGACGCCGCCGCGCCATGCTCCACCTCAGCGAGTTTTCTGGTCCCGACGCGCTCCTAATCAAGCCCACCGAGGGCTGTTGCACGGAATCCAGCATCGAACCCCGGCTGCCTGCCAGGGACACACCAGTGGCCAACGGTTACCCCGGAGGTAAGGAGCGTGGCCGGGGGCGTACTCGGACGGCAGCTCAGCACGGGGGCGCACAGTGCTTGAGAACGAGCAAGGACTAGGACTGGGACTAGAGAGCTGAAGGGGTAGCGGCCATGGGAGGCTCGGGGGCCTGGGGCGCGTACCCCTATTCCCATTTTCATACCCACCAGGCCGCCAGCGCCTCTGCAGGAACCTGTGCACGCATCAGGGCGTCCTTTTGCCTGTGCACGTGTGTTTTGCGTGTGCATGCTTATATGTGCATCTTGGAGGGTATTTCAGCTCCTAGCTGGTACAGTGTGCAAAAGGTACTTTGTGTCCGTGCACACCGTGGGCTTCGTGGGCAAGAGCTGCGGGTTCAGAAGGCTCCCTGTTTGAGGTGCCCAGAGTTGATTCCTGCTCTATCCTCAGCAGGCGACTTCTTGAGCTGGGCTTTGAGCAGCTGCGGCGCCGGGGGAAACTTAGCCGACTCCTGCTTCTTGGAGGGGCCTGCGCCCACGCCCCCTCCCGGCCTCAGCTACAGCGGTAGCTTTTTCATCCAGGCCGTACCTGAACATCCGCACGACCCAGAGGCACTCTTCAACCTCATGTCAGGCATCCTAGGCCTGACACCTTTTCCCGGCCCTGAGGTGGCAGCATCCCGGTCTGCACTAGATGTCCCCTTTCCTTCGGGCTCCGACGCTTTGCTGCCGGGTCTGCCAGACCTGTATTCTCCGGATCTGGGCTCTGCAGCCTTTCCGGAGGCGTTTTGGGAGGCTTCGCCCTCCGCGGGCGCCCCCTCGCAGTGCCTATACGAACCGCAGCTCTCCCCGCCCGACGTCAAGCCGGGCCTTCGAGCGCCTCCCGCCTCTCCAGCGCTGGACGCTACCTCTGCCTTCAGCGGTCCTTATTCTCCCTGGGAACTGCTCTCTAATGGGGCTCCAGGAAGCTGTGAGTTACAGGGAGGCTACCAGGCCACCCCCGAGGCCCGTTTCCCCGCCATGGGAGCCAAGATTGAAGACCTGCTGTCTATCAGCTGCCCGGCAGAGTTGCCGGCCGGCCCAGCCAACAGACTCTATCCCGCTGAGGCCTACGACGTTTTCCCTCTGGCCCCTGGTGACTTAGGGGAGGGGGCTGATGGCCTCCCTGGGCTCCTGACCCCTCCTGGTGGGGAGGGTGGGGGGAGCGGCGACGGTGGAGAGTTTCTGACCAGTACGCAGCCTCAGATTTCCCCACTGGGTCTCCGAAGCGCAGCGGAGGACTTACCGAAACCTCTAGTGGCAGACATCCCTGGGGGCAGTGGCGTGGCTGCTACTCCCGGGCCGCCACCCGCCCTATTCCCCCCAGCCAAGCCTCGACGCAAGGGGCGCCGGGGAGGCAAGTGCAGCGCTCGTTGCTTCTGTCCGCGGCCTCATGCCAAAGCCTTTGCTTGCCCAGTGGAGAGCTGTGTGCGCAGTTTTGCACGCTCAGACGAGCTCAACCGCCACTTGCGCATCCATACAGGCCACAAGCCCTTCCAGTGCCGTATATGCCTCCGCAACTTTAGCCGCAGCGACCACCTCACCACCCATGTGCGCACCCACACTGGTGAGAAGCCCTTCGCCTGCGACGTGTGCGGCCGCCGCTTCGCGCGCAGCGACGAGAAGAAAAGGCACAGCAAGGTGCACCTCAAGCAGAAGGCACGTGCCGAGGAGCGGCTCAAGGGCCTTGGCTTTTATTCGCTAGGCCTCTCCTTCGCCGCCCTGTGAGCGAAAAATGAGTCTGTAGATTAGGGCGCCGCCACTAGGCGTGCACAAGAAGACACCCCCCTCCCCTTCCTTCACCTCCCAATCGCTCCCCTTTCCATCTCTTCCCCCCGCGCCGCTGTGTGAGCCTCGGGTCCCGCCTTCAGTTTCAGTGAAGCACCCATCGCACACGTCCCGTTCAGCACTAGCTCTGCGGACAGCTCCCTCGGCCCTAGCTGCCAGCCTTGCTAGGGAAAAGCCTTCTCAGGTCACCCACTGAGTAGGCACTTCTTTGGGACTCAAGACAGTCTTTTTTGTACTTGGCGCACGCCCCACGCCCTTCCCATGCCCCTCAGAGACAGGCTGGGGCAGCGCCGAGCCGGTCTCGCGCGCGCGGGACTTTGTACAGCAATGTCGTTTCCAGCAGCCATTGGATGTAACGTTTTGCTTTGGGGTTATTTTTTGTTGTTGTTGTTAATTTTTGTAAAGCAGATGCTACTCTCAAGCAGTTGACAAAACTGTTTATTTTTGCAATTAAAATTATTGTGCTAAAAGCTTACTGAATCTGTCATCAAAGCTCCTGACCCTTTGCCCCCAGCATCTCTCCCAGGAGAATATGAGTAAAGTGTAGGAAGAAAAGGAAACTCCCCATGCTCATGAAGTCCAGGCTCTGAATTGAGAGGGAGTACATAAATCAAGACATATCACACACCTACTGTCAGGCACACCTGACAGGCATTGTGGCACCTAGTAAGCATTCAATAAATATGTTTGAATTAATGAATTACAGGTAGTCCCTGACTTATGAGGGGTTTCTGCTGGGCAGACTCAGTGGTAAGTAGGTTTTGCATGAGTAGGTATTCAACGGGTTGAATAACTCATTGCTGTTATTTTTTATCGCCTTTTATTATCAATATCTTTATAAAACTAGTCACTATTTGTCCATGGGGGTTAGAAATATCACATATAAACTTACAGGTATATTTTAAGATTGTATGTAGTACACATTACTAATAAGGTGTACAGAAAAAAAAAAAGAGACAATTTTAAGTATGGCTGTCTTAACTTGAATTCATTGTGAATCAGAGAGTACTTATAATTTAATCACAACTAACCTAAGGGCGTTGTGGGTTAATGCACCAGACTGTAAAGCCAGTTGAACTGCAAGGGCTGTGGTTCAAGCTCACCAGCTGCTCCTCAGAAACCCTATACAGGGTCACTATGGGTCGGAACCGACTCAATGGCACTTAACAACAAACAACAACAACCTAAGGGAGTCCTGGAGTGGTGCTGCAGGCTAATGCGCTGGACTGCAAGGTCGGTTTGAATTACAAGGTTGGAGTTTCAGCATCCCTATGAGTCGGAACCCAGTCAATGACATTTAACAATAACAGCAACAACATAAGGAGCTGTTTCTGGAACTTGTTTACAAGGTTTAGGTATCAAGCATTGTTCATATGTCTTCCTTAATCTTCACAAAGGAGCACTGATGGCACAATGGTTACGCAGTCAATCGCTAACTGAAAGGTCAATAGTTTGAACACATCAGCTGCTCTGTGGAAAAAAGACCTGGCAGGCTGTTTCTCTGAAGATTTCAGCCCAGTAAACCCTATGGGACAATTCTACTCTGTCATACAGTTCTCTGTGAATCACAATCAACTTGACAGGAAACAACCACCTCATAATCTGGAGTGAAGCAGGCATATAACCCATTTCAAAAATAGAAAGCAATGCAGTGATTAGATAACTTGCTGGGTAAAACACCTAAGAACAGAAAGGGTCAAACAGTTCTGCTTCCAAAGCATATGCTCCTTTTCCTACCCATGAATGGAAGCACCTGAGCTTAATAGCCGTTTGGAAAGGCTTCCTGCCGGCCCACTGCCATAGACTCATTGCCACAGGGCAGGGTAGAACTGCCTCTATAGGATTTCTGAGGCTATAAATCTTTATGGAAGCAGACTACCTCATTTTTCTCCCATGGAATGGCTGGTGGGTTCAAACCACTGATTTTTCCATTAACAGCCCAACACTTAACCAACTGTGGCACCAAGGCTCCTTGGTTTCCTGCCAGGAGGTGAGAAACAAGTTGGGCAAAGAGAGGGAGTCTCAGGCCGTAGTGACAGCAACAGCAGCAGAAGGCAGGATTTCTGTGCTGTCTGAGATTAGCCAGAATGTTCAGTGGCACAGAGGCTGCAGCACTGCCTATGCATCTGTTGGAGAATGACATCACTCAGAACATACCTGAGTCTGACTGATGGGCAGAGCCACACCCAGGAAGAGCAGGTGCTTGTCAGAGGCTCACAGTCATCTTAGTTACTCTTCCCACAAAGGATCTTCTCCAGGAGGTAGTACCAAGTCATGCACTCACCAGGACCTCTTTTCCCTAGCTCTCTTTCTAGGTGACTCTTTCAAGACTTTGAGGACTAGGGATGGTGAAGAAAAAGGAGATGGGAATGGTGGGAATGGGTCAGAATTGTCCCTCCCTTCATTCTGAGCTACTTGCCCCAAAGCTTTTTACATTCTGGAACCTTGCGCAAACCTTACAGCCTGAAAAGCCTGCCTACCCATCCCATCTCTTCTTTCTGCTAAGGATGGGAGAATGCCTGTTTCTGGGGGTTTCTTTCTTTTCTATTCTGAGCCGATCTCTTCTTGAATGACCAATCGCCTGGTTTCTTCATCCCTTCACTTTCAGCTTGGCTTGCTCTCCACCCTTACAGTTCAGTTTAAAAAACAAAACCACATCCTTTGCCACAAAGTCAACTTCAACTCTGACTCATGGTGACCCCATGTGCATCACAGTAGAACTGTGCTCCATAGGGCTTTCAGTGGTGATTTCTTTTTTAAAGTAGATTGCCAGGTCTGTCTTCTGAAGTGTGTCTGGGTAAACTCAAACCTCTGACTTTCTGGTTAGCAGCCAAGCTGTTACCCATTTGCACCACCCTGGGACTGCAGTTCACTTTACCAAAGGCAAAATGACCAAGTGAAATCTGCCCATTCCCTCTCCCATTTCTCTCTCTAGGTGCTAAATGCTTTCACGTGGTTGAGTATTTGGTATCTTTTAAGGAGCTCTGGTAGAGTCCTAGTGTAATACCATAGGACAAGCACTCGACCTCAAAGGTCAGTTTGAACCTCAAAGTAGGTGGTTCAAACTCACCAGTCGCTTCTCGGAAACAGGGTCGCTATGAGTAGGAACTGGCTCGACAGCACTTAACAACACCAGGAGCTCTAGTAGCATAGTGGTTATGAGTCAGGTCAGCAGTTCGAAACTACCAGCTGTTCTACAGGAGAAAGATGAGGCTTTCTGCTCCCGTAAAGATTTACAGCCTCAGAAGCCCTATACAGTGCGACTGTAAGTTGAAACCTACTCTACGGCATACCACCACCAAACTAATTTGCAAGCCATCAAGTCTAGCCTATAGAGACCCTATAGGACAGAAATACTCCATAGTGTTTCCAAAGTTGTAAATCTTATGGAAGCTGACTAATTACATCTTTTTCCCATAGAAAAAGATGCAGCTGGGAGCTCTTGCTTTAACCACTGCACTGCCAGGACTCACTTATTTAAAATAGATTCTGTCTAAAATCTAACCATTCTTCCATACATGCAGTTTCTGCTAAAGGTAAGCATAATTTGTTTTGGTCCCAGTTTTGAATCCCAGTTGGGCTTCACCTTTGACTCCTCCCTCCTCCAGGTGCCACCCAAACCCATTGGATCTTATTTAAGTTCTCCAAGGTCTTATCCACACTCATTCATGGTGCACTGCTTCATTTTATGTAATTTTTAGCTTATGAGCTCATGTTTGCTGGCGATTTCTCCAGAGCAGTTTTGTGCTTGTTCCTGCTAGGTACTCCAGGAGTATCATCTGATGGAAACCACTTTTAAATTTTTTTTTTTTTTACTGAGAATTGAGTGACAGTTTACAGAGCAGATCATCAGTTTTATATTCAACAAATCATACTTCAGATTATGAATCCCCTCCATGTACCATCAGTTAACAGTCTATACCTCTTTTCCCTTTAATGCTTGCATTTCTTCTGTGTTTCCTGCTACCTTCATCTTTCCTCTTGTTGTATGTTGCCTTCCCCACCACCCAGGTTAACAACATGTTCTACCTTCTATCCATTGAATAATTTTCCTTCCCTCTCCCACCATGGTACTGTAGTTGGTTATACGTTAAGGCTGCTAACCACAAGGTCAGATGAGGCTTTCTACTTCTGAAGATTTACATCCTTGAAAACCCTATACAAGGTCATTATGAGTCGGGACCAATACAAGGGCACACAACCACCAACAACCACCCACCCCTAATAACCATCATAGGAGGTTTTCTTTTAACAAGAAAACCTTTTCTTAGCTTTTTACAACAGTGGTTTCATACAATATTTGTTCTTCTGTGACTAATTTTACTCGGTATAATTTTGCTCCAGGTTAATCCATGTTATGAGGTGTTTGCTGATCCATCATTATTATTCAACGTTGCATAGTATTCCATTGTGTGTAAGTACAAAGTCCATTCTTGTGCTGATGGACATTTAGGTTGTCTCCAGCCTTTTGCTATTGTGAATAACATTGCAATGCTATTCACAATATGTATCTATTGTGAGACCAATCTTTATGTTGATGTCTTGGTGTTTCAATATACCATGCAGGTAATGTGACTTTAAACTCCAAAACCTGAATACTTATACATTCTCCAACCAGGGTGCAAGTCAAGATAGACACTCAATATGCTTCTCTCTCCAGGCCTTCTGGTGTTGGTCAAAGCATATCTCCTGCTTACAATTCTTAGTTTCACCTCCCTGGTTTTCAGTCCATGTAGATTTTCCTTATTTTCCTGCAAGTTTAGCTAAGCATTTCAGGAGATGCCTGGTATAGTTTGTGACGCATTCCAGATTTTCTGTTGTAGGAGGGTCGTTAGGTTATTGAGTCCACAATATTGCTGAAAACTGAAGCCAAAGGATGTCAGTGTTAAAACGTTTCCACATTTGTCCTTTCTGTGCCTACTGCTAGCACCTTGGTATAAGCCACCACCACACACACATACATTCCTCCTGGTTTTGACAATT